CACAGACGTGCAGGGCTGGGCTGTGGTGAGCGTGGCCCCCAGTGCCTGGACTGCTGCCCTGGCCCTCCTCCCCCCAGAGGAATGTGCCCCCAAGAAGGGCTGGTTGCCCATCCGTGTCCAAGCCAGGCCAGCCCCACACAGCCGGGCCGAGCTCCTACCTTTTTGGGAGAGAACACACCCAGGGTGCCGCCATCCTCCCTCATGGCCACGCCCATCTCGGCCAGCAGCGCTTCTCTGGGAGGACAGAGCAGAACTGGGGTGAGCGCGAGCCCCAAGAGGCCACCTCACCCGCAACCGGTGGGCTGAGTGACCGGGAGCAGGTGGGGCTCTGCCACACGGCCTGCGGGCAGCACGCATGCAGTGACCCGTCTGGTTAGGGAGTTAAGGTGTCCGCTTGGAGGACTGGTCACCCGATGAGGGATCAGGTCAATGGGGCCACGGTGGCACGGGGTGGGGTCCCTGGGGGAGAGGGAACGGGCCTGTCGGGAGCGCAGGGCAGGAGCGCAAGGCGGTGCGGCCCCCGCCGCCCACCTCTCCATCCGGATGGCTTCCGTCCGCCGCAGCTTCTCCTCCCACGTCTCGTTGAGCTCGGCTATGATCTTCTCCGTCTCCTGGGGGGTGAGACCGAGCAGAGCGAGGTCAGAGGCCTGGGGGCCAGGCCCAGGGGCAACGAGCCAGCCTGCGCGGCACTGAGACCCCAGGCCCCCAGTCTGTCCGGGCCGCACGATGTCTGAAGGGTCAAGGGCTGCAGGGTTGGTGTGTTTTCAAAACCACCTGTTTCCTATGGACGCGCCCAGAGGAGGGGAGGGAAAGGCCAAGTGAGCCAGGAGGGAGAGAAACGGGCACACGGGGACGCCGGGCTGGTCCTGAGCACAGACGTCCGTGGACACGTCGCCGTTTCCTCCAGCCCCACCCCAGGTGGACCCCCATTCCCCGACGCTCCAGGGTCCCCCCCCCTGCCCTGCCCCACCGCAGCCTCAGGTCTGGCCTCTGTGTCTTTGAATCCTCAACTCCCTCAGTCTCCAAGGTCTGGGCTCACCCTGCACCCCAGGAACATTGGGTGGAAACCCTAGAACCAACCAGGCCCATTGCTGGGGGCCAGGGAGTGACCACGGGCCCAAGGAGGCCAGTGGGTGAATATTCACAAGCACAGGACACCTGGGAGGGGTATAGAGTCCCTGGGACACCCGTCTGCCCTGGTCAGTAAACGGGGGCCCGCGGAGCTGGCCGGAGAGCGGTGACAAGTGTGGAGGGAGTGCTGGGGGCACCGCAGGCTCACTGCACCTCCAGCCACCCCACTTCCTGCCCGTGAGGATAGGGCTCGGCTGGCCCTGGGCCCAGAGGGTGTGGGGCGCCCCAGGGTGCAGGGCCCTGACACCCATCTCTCCAAGCTCACCCCTCTTCCTGGGGCCTGGCGCCCCACCCAGCCCTGCCCTCACCTTCAGCCTTTCGATGGCCTCCTCACTGCCCGGGGCAAACAAGAGGCGCTCGTGCAAGCTGGACACGGAGGCGGCGCGGCTGGACAGGGCCGAGAGCGAGGACGAGGGGCTCATGCCCACCAGGGCGTTGGTCACTGTGGAGAGATTGTCAGGGGCTTGACTCAACTCCGCCCCGCCACGGTTACGGTTATTGTTCTCAAGGTCAGACACGTCTATGGGAGGAAGGGGGGTGGGGGGGCAGACAGACAAGAGAGAAGAGAGACGAGTTGGGAGAAGAAAACGGCGGGTGAAGAGAAGCCAGGAAGCAAACCATGAGCACAGCTGCCAGGCGCTGGACAAGCGCATGCAAGGCCGCCTGCGACCCCACGACGGGAACCGGTCCCCGCCCATGCTCCCTGCCCGCAGCAGCACGGCAGCGCCAGGCCCCTGGGCACCCCCCGCTCCACCGCCCGGCCCTGGGCCCAGGCCTCTCGCTCTCCCTGCACCGCACCCGCACCGAAGCCCACACCTCCCAGGGTGCCCCCCGCCCTCCACCTTCCCTGCACCTCCCTCCCTGTCCACTACCCTTCACTGTCACTGCCCAGTGGCCTCCCTGCACCTGGGCCCTGATGTTTGTCCTCCGCTCTGCTGTGGGTACCCCCCTCGCCTGGCCCGCCATGCACCCCCAAGCTGCGGGGTCGAGCTGCGCTAACTGTCCAACACCGAGGAGGAGGGATGAACTGTGGGACCTCCCAGGGAGCCCTTACAACTCTACCCCCAAGAGGCTGCTCTGACCCCAGGGTCTCCCAGCACTCGGGTACCCAGGGAGCCCCCTGCTGCCCAAGGGCACCCTAAGGCCCGGAAGCTGGGGCTATGAGCCCCCTGGAGTAAGAGATGCCGGCCCTCTGGCAGGAGCCACAGAGTGGTGGCCAAAGGGCCAGCATGGGGCGCCAAGGGAGCCAAGGGCCCCATGGCCCTGGGGGTCGGGGAGGCACCAAACCGTCCCGTCCTAGGAGCCGGGCCCAAGGCCAGCAGGAGACACAGGCTGGGAGGACCTGGAGGCACTCAGACTCCTGGCATTTCCAGGGGGAGCAGGCCTTGGGGTGTGTGGGGCCACAGGGAGGCCAGGACGAACCTTGCCCCCCAGCACTGACACTCGGAGCCTCCTGGCCTCTGGGAGCCCATGGGGGTCAGAGAGCCTTTCCGCCCGAGAAAGCGTTGGCCGTTCCTTGTTTCCCCAGTGCCTCGGTTTCCCATACAGACATGGGGATGTGGCCCCACATCTACCAGGAGGGTGCCTTCCAGCAAGAAAGCTGCTGTCCCAGACCCTACAGAGCGGGGAGGCAGAGGAGAGCAGGCAAACCCTCCCACCGGCCCTGGCCGCACCCCATCTGCCTGCACCGCCCTACACCCCGCGGGCGGGACAAAGCGGGGATGCACAGAGAGCGGCAAGGGGATACACACATTTGGGTCCTCCGGGCACAGTGTTGGCTAAGGGGGAGGGGAGGTATGGGTGAGGGAGGAGAGACAGAGAAACAGAAGAGCAGGTTTGTCTCTGCAGGGTCTCAGGCCGGGCGTCAGGCAGGTGGCCGTGGGCGTCAGCAGGACACAGGGGCCTCCACAGCCCCAGCACGCGGGGCATGCCAATGTGGCTTCCGGGAAAAGCATCTCCGGCTGCTTGGGCCAGCCAGACCCAAACCACGCCGTCTGCCCAGAACCCCGGCCTCCCACACAGGGTGGTTCTGCCCAGGAACCACGCAGGGGCTGGGACTGTGGTGGCAGCTTGACCCGCCCCATCCCAGTGGCGGTCCTACGAGGGAGGCCAAGCTGGCTCGAGAGGCCGCTGGGGACCCGAGCCCAGCCCCCCTGCCCAGGATAGGCAGACACAGACACTCACTGTCGGTGATGTCCCCGAGACCCTGCGCATACAGCAGGTCCCGAAGCCGGGTCACCTCATCCTTCAGCTCACGGATCAGCTTGTTGTTGGGGTCCTCGTTGATGACGGCATTACAGCGGATCTGCTTGGCCCGGTCGGCATACCTGGGCAGCAAAGAGAGCTGTGGGCTGTGCCCATGCCCAGCAAATCCAAGGGGCAGGAGGTCAAGCAGGGGGGACCTGGGGGCTTTGGCATAGCAAGGAGTCACCTCCACTGGGAGTCACCAGGGCCACTGGCCAGAGACCTGCAGGTGGGGTCATACAGCCCCAGCTCGGCTGCTTGGGGAAGCCAAGGCCCCAGAAGGAGAAGGGACGGCGTGGCATCTTCTCCCTGGGGTGAGGCCTTAGCACCTGGGCCTGCGTCCCCAGGGTGGAGGGAGAAGTGGGGAGTGTGAGAACGTCCACGTGTGTGTGTTCCAGCCCACACCTCGCACAGCAAATGCACAAGCAGTTACAGATGAATGCGAGTCCCTACATGGGGACCCACGCCCTTCCTTCTCTTTACTACCAGTGGTGCTTGGTCAAAGGAGGCCAGAGATGCTGACTCGGAAGCTGACTCGACCCAGGCTCCCACCACAGGACACCGACCTTGCAGCCAGAGGGACGCTTAGGACACACCTGCACCCCTTCGCTACTTAAAGACCCTGGGGCTCCCACGGCCAACAGATGGGTGCAAACTGCTCAGCCCACAAGCACAGCTCTCCCGGTTTTGTGCCACAGCACCCTCGGCTGCTCACAGTCCAAAAGTGCACCCCAATGGGTGGTGGGAACGGAATGGGTCCCATGAAGACCCAGGCGCTTCTGACAGCCATTGGAGCCTCCAGAAGTCACAGAGGAGATGGTTCCCCCCAAGAGGAACTCCCCCCCACAGGTGTTCCGACTCGGGCAGAGAGGGACCACTCCCAGCCAAGCCAGGTGAGGTGCAGGCCCACCTCCGTCAATGACATACCTCAGGGTGCTCAGGGTCTCGTCGTAGTTGATGTCTGCGGGGCTCAGGGCCGCCACCATTGCTGTCCTCGAGTTCCCGCCTGTGGGAAGAGGCCGTGCTGGAAGGAGGGCCAGCCTACTGCCATGTCCTCCCCACTCTGTCCCCTCCTCTACTTACAGCTAGAAAGGTTGAGGCCCAGAGAGATAAACTGAGTCATGGGCCAGAGTAAACACAAAAAGCGGGGCTCTGGACTTCATCCCCGCACCAGGCACCTTGGTTGTTTTTCTTCTCCAGTGTCTCCCTCGCCTTTGGGGTCATTTGACAACCAGGCCTCCGCCTCCCCATAATGAAGAAGGAAGTTGTGGAGGGTTTTACGGCATTTACTGCAGGCTAAGGACTGTTTATGTTCGCTATTTTCCCTTTTCTCTCTCTCATGTGGACTATTTTTCTCCATAGTGACAGTCAGATCCCTGGCCCCGGCAGCATGGACATCGCCTCAGGTAACGCACGCAGTGTGAAGACACGGACTGTTTGGCTTCTGCTCAGAGGCCAGCTGATCGCTCCTAGCTCCTGACCTTGAACACTGGATAGTCAGTCCTGTCAGGCTGCTGCCTGTCCGTGCTCAGGGTCTGGACAGACAGGCTGTCCTGCTTGACCTCGGGGGCCTGTGTCCTGGGGCCATGTTCCCAGGGTGCGGCGCCCACATGGACTGTGAGGTGACAGGGTGGAGGGCTTGGGGCGTGATGCTGAACCAGGCGCCGGGAAGGGTTGTGAGGGGCTCCCCGCCCCCACCCGAGGGCTGGGCCGGGGCACGGCGCTGTGAAGAGGGCTTCCTTCCCAGCCTGTGCCTCAGGTAAAGGCACACCCAGTCCTGTGACACTCCTGTCCACTCTGGGGGTCCACCTGCCCTGGGAGCTCCCATCTGCCCACTCCTGCACCCAGGAGGCCTGGCCCGAGGCTGGCTTTGGCATGTAACCCCAGCCATGCAGCCAAGGAAGGTCAAAGCCCTAGTTGTCTATGTTCAGGTCGGCCTGAGACTCCGTTTACATCCGCGGGCATCAGCCTCTCCAGCTGTGAACACAGCCTAGAAGGATTCCCGAGGTTATTTTTGGGTGGGAGGCATTTCGGTCTCCAACTCCCATCTATCTCTCACTGGTTCAGAGCTCCCCCAGAGAGAAGTGACTTACGGCAGCCCAACAAAATAAGCAAGCAAACAGGGCTCCCCAGAATCATGGAGTCCCGGGTCTCTGCTACAGATGGGGAAACTGAGGCCAAGGTGAGTGGGTACTTGGTCTGGGTGTCACAGACCTGAACCAGGTCACTGACATGCGTGTGTGTGTTCTGTGGCTCTGTGGGTCCCCGTGGTTCCCCACACATGCTGTTGTTAAACCTTTTCTGCTCACTGTCCCAGGCCCTCTGGAAGGATGCCCAGGTTTGCCTCAGCCTTGGCCCAGGAAGGGTAAGAGGCCTCCTGCTGGCTGGGCGCCCCTTCCCGGCGGGAAGAGGGACAATGGCCCCGGCGGAAGTTAGACCCCTGGGGATGGGCAAACCCATGAGTCCTCACCCAGGTTTTCCCTGAGCAGCCAGGTCAGCACGGAATCTCTGTAGGGAATGAAATCTGTCTTCTTCTTTTTCTTGTTCTGTGAGGAAGGAACATTCAAGGTCAACCCTGAACTCATGGAGGCAGAGCAGCAAGCACAGGACCTGCAGGGTGGTCCCCAAAGCCAAGGCTGCCACAGGGGGGCAGGGCTGGGCCGGCTCTCAGGCTTCTCCCCAACTGAACCCCCAGAAGCCACACCCAGGCACCTCTACCCAAGGCCAGAATTGGGGACTTGTTAGCACATCCCTTGTGTTCCTCCCTGTCCATCCCCACCGCGTGTCTGAGCCACACAGCCGGGCCCGAGCCCAGGCGTGCTGATATCTCCGGCCAGTGCGTCCTCCCTCCACTGTCAGAACTGATCTAAGCCCATCGCCCCACGAGCAATGGCTCTGCTGACTGAAAAGAAAAGGCCCCACGCATTCCACTGGAACCTCTCCCCTTCCTTCCGCACAGAATTCACCTTCCGTCTCCCCCATCCAACTGCCTACTGTCCTTAAGAAGCCAGCTCACAAGCCCCTGCTCTAATCCCTGTTCTCCCCACCCCTCCCCTGAGAACACAGCCTTCTCCACATTCGGGCTGCTCCTGTGACGCTTTGTTCTTCTTTTAAGGCAAACGAAGGTCATTCAAAATGTGGACACCGGCTTGTGTGATGGCTGACACTCTGTGACTGGCTCCACGACTCCACTAATCATGAATATTCAGTTCCTTTCCCATGTCTGCTAGTTTACCTATATATTATGAATAGTTGCTTAAGAAGTGTTTGTTGAGCCCCTGCAGTGGCCAGCAGACATGGCCCCTGATCCCCAGAGCCCCCTCCCATGGAGATGCACACAGGTGCCACGACAAGGGTGGTGTCGTTTCTCTGAGGGCAAACTCATTTGTCATTGTTTTTTAGGCCGGTCCTCAAGAGGAGCTCCACTAGCTCTCAGGGGACATAAACTATGAACGTTCTGAGACATGCTGTTAAAGTGGGTTTCAGAAATGCCGCTGTGCCGACTTCTGCGTGAACAGGGGTTGAGAGCGTCCAAGTCATCAGTACAGGCGGCTTTCTTTTTCTCCTTTGGAAACTCGGCGGGTAAAAAACTAATTCTATTTTGTGGGGGTTTTTTTGTTTTTTTTTTTTTAAGCTGAGCCATCCTGCTACCTGTTGGCAGCTCAGCAGCTGCTCAGCTCGGGCTGGACCTGAACCGCTGTTGCTCAGAGCTCCAACTCCTGAGCGAGCTCTTAACCAACTGAGCCACTCGGCCGGCCCTTCTATTTTGTGTTTTGATTATTTAATTCCTGAGGCTGAATCTCTGCCATGTTTGTCTTTGTTTCCACAGTAAATGCCCTACAATCACTCAGCTACTCCAGCAAGGAGCCCAGGCGTCGCCTTTGACTGCTGCTCCCTCACCAGCGCCCATGCCATCCGCCCGCAGCCGCTGCTCAGCCATGCTCCAGCCTCTCCCAGAACCGCCCCCTGCTCTCCCTCTCCTCTGCCTTCCTAGCCTCCATTTTCACCTGGATCTCTGCAACACGGACCTCCCATTCTCCTGAAGCCACCCCAGGCCACCCCACTCCCAATCTATTCTTCCTGCAGCTGCCTGAGGGACGTGTCCGAGACTAAATTAGGCTTCGTGAGCGCTGCTGAAAACCCACCCACTGCGTTCCATTAAACCATAATCAACAAGTTTCTGACAGTGGACTAGGCCCTCAGATCAGGTCCCTGCCCATCTGCAGCCCCATCATCTACCTGCCCATGTTCCCTGCTCCAGGCAGGTCCTCCATACTTCTTTACTCAGTTCCTTAAAAAGCTCCTATCCCAGCCCCTCACACAGTCTCTGGAACATTTTTTCACAGTCCCTCAAACAGCTCATCACATAGTACCTCCCACAGTTCCCACATGGTTGTTCACACATCTCCTCAGTCCCTTACTCGCTCCCTCACTCAGTTCCCCATACAGTGCCCTGCCCGGTTCTGCCCGGTTCCGCCCGGTTCCAACCGGTTCCCTCACACACTTCCTCTCACAGTTCATCACACGATTCCCCACAGGCTCCTTGCACTTCCTCACGGTTCCTCGCATTTCCCCACAGTCCTGACACCGTCCTCACACAGTTCAAGTTCCTCACAGTACTTCAGGGTAGTTCACACAGTTTTCACAACTTGTCACACAATCCATCACGCAGCTCGTCACACAGCCCCACACAGCTCCTCGGGCCCTTCTCCCTCAGAGTTTCTCACCGCCCCTCACACTGTGCCTGACGTGGTTCCGCACACATGCCTCCCGCCCAGCTCCACTGCAGTTGCTTCCATACACAGTTCCCCACCCCATGTCGCACACTTCCTCTCACGGTTCCACATAGTTTCTCACATGCACACAGCTCCACACACAGGGCCCAACAGCTCTTCACAGTTTCTCATCCAGTTCCTCATTCTTCCCTGCAGTTCCTCACACAGATCTCTCCACAGTTCCTTAAATGGCTCCTCACATAGTTCCTGAGGTCCTCACATAATTCTTCACACCATCCCTGACACACTTCCACAAGTTCTTCACACAAGTCCTCACACAATCCCTCACGTCATTACTCAGTTTCCTCACAGTTACTCACGTAGCTCCCCACACCATTCCACACAGTTCCTCATACAACCCACAGAGCTCCTCACAACTCTTCACCCAGTTCTACACCTATTTTCTTAGTTTCTTACAGTTCCTCACAATTCCCCACATAATTCCTCAAATTCCTTCACACAGTTTTCATCTCAGGTCCATTCACACTTCTTCCAAGACAGTTCCTCACACAGATCCTACACAATTTTCCACACAGTCCCACATGCATTCCCTCAAAGTTTCTTACAATTCCACACACAAGTATGTCCTCACAGTCCCTTAAAGTCTGTGACAGTTCTGCATGCATTTCCCCAAAGTTTCTCACAACCCTCAAACAGTTCCTTAGATGGTTCCTCACACATTCTTCACACATTTCCTCTCACAGTTCCACAGTTCCTCACATAGTTCACACATCATATAGTTCACATGCATTTCCTTGCAATTCTCCACAGTTCCCCACACAATTCTAGTTTGTCACACCGTTTCTCTCACTTCCTCACAGGTCTACCAGCTCCTCACATACCCATGATGTTCTTCAGTTCCCCAGTTCCCTCATCACTCCACAGTTCCCCCCCAGTTTCCTCGCAGTTCCCCCACACTGTGAGGGAACACACAGTGTGTAAAACTCCTCTCCCAGTTCCACAAAGTTCTTCACAATTCCTCAGTTGCACACACAGTTCCTCTGACAATTCCTTACATAGGTCCTCACAGTCCTTCACACAGTTCCTCAGTCTCTTCACACATTTCCATACAGTTTCTTTGTACTTCCTCACAGTTCCTCATTCCGGCATCCACACCATTCTACACAGTTCCTCACAATGCTTCGTGCAAACCCTCTGACACAGTCCATCTCGCAGTTCCTCAAGTATTTCCTCAAACAGTTCCTCACATGGCTCCCCATGTGGTTCCTCACGGTTTCTTAGTCACTGACAGAGTTCCTCAGTTTCTTCACACAGTTCCCACCCTGTCCCCACACCACTCACGTGTGTCCTCTCCCAGTTTCACAAATTTGCTCACAAGTCACGCAGTAGCTCACAGTTCCCATTTTTCACACAATTCCACCACGCTTCCCACACCGTTCTGCAGCTTCTCACGAAGTTCTTTCACAATTCCTTCCACAGTTCCACATGCTATTTCACAAATTTCCCCTCACATTTCCATAGCTCCCCACAGCGTCCACAAAGTGTGAACAATTCTTCTCACAGTTCCACAGAGTTGTCACACAGTTCCCCTGGTCCCCACACTGTCACCTACGCTTCCTCATAATTCCTCCCACAGCTCGACACACACCTCCTCATACGGTCCTTACCTGGATTTCTTTCCCACAAAGTCCCTCACAGTCCGTCACGCAGCCCTCCACACAGCTCCTCAGGGGCCCTGCACACCATTCCGTTTCACTCACTTCCTCTCACACTTCCACATAGCCCCTCGTGGTCTTCACACGGTGCCTCAGTTTCCTCACACAGTTATCCATCTAGTTCCCCACATCATTCTGCAGTTCGTCACACAGTCCACACACTTACTAGTAATTCTACATACAGTTTCACATCCATTTTCTCACAATTCCTCACACAGTTCCACACCTAGCTCCTCATAATGCTCTACAGTCCTGATGGAGGCCATTGCAGTTCCTCATGCATCTTCCCCAAAACTGTCTCCCAGCTCCTCAAACAGTTCCCCACACGGTTCCTCACAATTCCTCATGTAGTGCCCCCTAATCTCGCAGTTTCCCCTGTTCTCACATTTCCCAACATAGTTCTTACACAGTCTCCTACACATGGTATTTCCGTCGCCCACACAATTCCCTCACAGAATTCCCACATTTTCGCCACCATTTCACATACTTCCTCTCACAGGTCCCTACACGAGACCCCACAGTACCTCACATGGTTCTTCACAATTCCACACACACGTCCCATACAGTTCCTGCCAGCCATTCACACAGTTCCTCACAGAGAATCACACGATTCCTACACACTTCCGCTCGTGTTTTCTCAGTTCCTTATGTAGTCAGTTGCTCACAGCTCCCCACACAGTTCCTCACAGCCTTCTCCGTCCTCAGCCTCTCACACTGGGCTTCCCAGCTACAAGGCACAGGTGCCCGCGCCCCACGCGGCGGGCTCAGTGACTTCTACTGCCGAGACCTGCACGGGGGGCTGGAGCTCAGGGTGCTTTTTGCTCTCTGCAAGGGTGAAGGTTCCCCCCTAGGACTGAAGCAAGCAGCTTACCTTATTGGGCCCAGAGTCCTGGAAAAGAAAAGACAGGACGAGTCTGAGGACCTGGAGTAACGCTGGGGCCCCAAGGGGTGGGGGAGGGGGACGGGCTGGCTCCAGCGGGCAAAGGAGCAGGGGAGTCGGGCTGCTGTCACCCACTAGTGCCTCCCCCACCCCCAACAATTTCAGAGTAGGGTAGGGTCTCCTGAGATTTGTCCTTCCCTGGCCAAAGGCCTGGACGTCTTGGTGAGAGGGCAATGCTGCCTGTCCCGTGGGGCCCACCAAATCCAGTCTCTCACCTCCAAGGGCCATGGGCTTCCTTTTGGAGGACGGCCTGGGTTGGGCTAATTAGGCCAGAGCTCACCACAGTCCTGCCCTTCCAGAAGGAAGCCAGCCAGCAAGCTCGCCATAGCCCATGGTGACCCTCAGAAGGTCCCTGTGAGAAGGTGGCACATCCCCGTTTTACAGGTGAGGAAACTGAGGCTCCAGGGCGTGACAGGGACCCTACTCTATCGATAGCCTAGTGATACCACATCTCTGGGCTTTCCCTTGAACCCCATACGCCTTGCCATAGACCGGGCCCAAAACACATATGACAGGGTCCCAGCATCCCCCACGGAGGGCAGGACGGGGAGCCACCTCCACAGTCTATCCCATCAGTCTAATTCTAGAAACCCAAAGCCAGCTCACCATTTCAGCCAGAGCAGAGATGACCTTCCCCAGCGTGGTCAAGGACTTGTTGATGTTGGCTCCCTCCTATGTGTGGAGAAGATGGTCGGGACATTAGGAGACTTCAGGAGCCTCTTGCTATGGTGTGATCCTCTGGGGCCTGACCCGTGTGGCGTGCACTACTGACCCTGGGCTTCGGGGGGCATGGGAGGCTCTGGCAGGAAGGCTGTCAGAGACCTACCTGGCCAGGCAGGGAGTACAGTTTGCCTGGCGTTTCCTCTCAGCTCACTCAGAAGCCTAGTGACGCCTCACGTGCCTGAGGCCATTTCCAGAGCCCCTCCTACCCATCATGTAGCGGTGGGGACCAAAGGGGGGACTCAGGAAAACAAAAACTCCTTCCTGACACCCAAAACTGCTCTGAGCAGAGGGGTCCCTCAGGACTGGCCAGCCCCTCCCGCTGCTGCCTCGCGGCCTGTGTTCTGGAGGGACAGCGCAGACGCCGGTGGCGAGGGGCTGTGGGAGCCCGCGGAGAGCCCAGCTTTTCTGCCAGGTGGCTTCCGGCTGGGGTCCTCCTCCCATCCCCACCCCTCATGCCCCCTCACGCCCAGGCTCACCCTAGGGGGTGGCCCCAACACCCTCTCCAGCCCCAAGAGGAGCCCTCCTGCCAGGCCCACCCTGGAGCAAGCCAAGCTTGGAGATAGGACCCCACCGGTGAGTCGAGGTACAGGGGGCCCACTGTTCTCCATGGGCATGGTGGCCTGGCCCCTACCTTGAGACGCGTGCCCTTAGCTCCCGTGGAGTCAGCCCGCTCGCTCCCAGCCAGGTCCACCAGGCTGATTTTGCTCACCTGGAATAGCAAATGTGACAAGTATGAAAGATGCCCCTAGGCCACTATGGGCACAGCCTCAAGGGCCTGGCTGAGGAGCCCCTGCCTGGAGGTCCAGTGGCCCTGACCCTGCACAGCTTCCATCTGCACCTGTTCCCAGCTCTTCTGACACTGTGCCCAAGGCTCAAAGCCACATACCCTAAGAGGCTGCACGCCCCCACTCCTCAAGCATCGGGGGCCACGGCCATGCTGTTCTCTGCAGCTGGCACTCTTCATGCGTGTGTGCATGGACTCCCCATGGTGCCTGTGTGTCCGTCACTACCACCCATTTCCACAGACAGGGCCATCGGCTGTCATGGGGTTCGAACCTGGCTCCAGTGCCCTAGCCATGCTTAGCTGCCTCATGAGGGCGCAGCTGCACGAGCCTGCTGGGCACTGGGCAGGGGGCCCCCACTGACACTCCCATGGCCTGGGGTAGCAGCCACGTGCATCCTGAGGAGGTCGAGGCCCTCCCGAGCCATGGCCGCTGCGGGCAGGACTTGCTCAGATGCGAACAGCCTGAGGGGTGGGAAGGACACCAGGCAACCTGCGACCAGGCTGACCTAGTTTCCTGCCCCTCTAGGCCCCAGTGGGCACTTGCAAACCTCCAGGAGGGCGGCACCTGCTGAGGTGACCCTGGCACCATCAGGACTAAATGACACTCACTAACTTTCTCTGACCCTTCTGCAGATGCTGGGATGCTGCCTGAGAGAGCCCAGCCCTCTAGGAGGTGACTGAGGTGTTCCAGGAGGGAGGCCTGGACATGGGTCGGGCGAGAGGGCACAGTTGGCGAAAACCCGACACCGTAGGTCGGAGCAACTGATGGATGTGAGCAGGCTTGGACCCTGTCCTGCTGCCTCCCCCCAGAGCCCACATGCTGTGTGTCAGGTTAAAGGCCCAGGAGAGGACGCCCCTGCCATGGTCCACTGAGAATGCCAAGGCGTGTGGGAAGGGCATCTGGGGCTGGGGCGGCAGGGCAGTGCCCGCTCAGACAGCCTCTCCTTTGTGCTTGCAGATGCTGGTTCCCACCGGGAGGCCCTGCTCCCAGCCCAGCGTCCCTGCACCAGAGCCCACAGTCGCCTTCGTGACGGGCACTCACTCAGTCTGAGACCGCCCAGCCTTCGCTGCTGCCCTCCGAGGGATGCCTGGGCATCCTGGGCCTGTGGGGGCTCAGCTGTGGTGCAGCCCTGGGACATTCCCTCTAGTCTCCACGGTCCCCACCAAAACCGTCTGGCCCTTCCACACCCAGATGGTGCCAAATGTCGAGATGAAGTGGCCTCGCAGACCTGGCCAACCTCTCCCCAAGCCCACGCTGGGCTGAGGGTGCTTAGTGCCTGGTGAGAGGGCGCTGCCCACTTCTCACAGGCCAGGGTGTGGCTTGGCCGCCTCCTTCAGCCTGACCCCTCCCCCCACCCGGGTGGCACCCACCGCCAAGGCCATGCTCACTTTCTCTGTGGTGATGTCGGTCTCCGCATCATGGCGTTTCTGGGTGAAGATGATGTTGAAGACGGCGTGAGAGCGACTGCTGGTCTCGTTCATGTTCGTGGCAGCCACGGTCCTGGGGGAACAGAAGTCACATGTGCTTACCAGTCGCCCTGTAGTCGGATATAAGGGTCACTGATGGTGCCAGCCTGCTGGGTCAGGTCATGGGTGTCAGCTTCCCAGGCTCCCCATGGCTGACCAGCTGGTGGTGACCGTGCCTTCTGTCAGAGCGGGAGCAGGGCCCACACCCGCCTGTCACCACATCCATCGTGGGACCCTCAGCCCCCAGCTTCAGCCTGGCACTCAGGGTGCTACTCCCGGGGGCTCAGCAGAGCCCAGGCACCACTCACTCAACTCGCTGTGATGTGGGGAGGCCCCCAGAAGGGAAAGGGAGACCCACCATCCACTGCTCTGGGGAGGGCCAACGGCATGGCCACAGGGGACAAGGCCTTGGCTGCCTGAGAGGAGACGTGGGGTTGGTCTTGAGGCCACCGACAGGCAGAGGCCTCAGAGAAGTGTCCCCAGGCTCAGCTCTGTCTGAAAGCGCATAGCACAAGGGCCTCGGCAGAACAGCCCTCCCAGAACCATGACTGAGGTGCGGGGTGGCAGTGACTGACACAGGGAGCCCTCACCCTCCAGGGAGCACAGGGTAGCAGAGGGAGACTATTGCCATGACGACCAGGGCAGACCCTTCCAGGCAGGGAGGCCAAGCGCAGGACGGCCAAGAGACCGATTGCTTACGGCCGGCAGCACCTGCCTGGAGCCCCTCTGAGCAGGCAGAGCTGGACCTCAGTCTCCTGACCACTGCGGATGGCCACCTGGCTCAGCTGCCACAGATAGCGCCAGCACCCACCCCCAGGCACACAGCCCACCCCCAGGAGGAATAGGTCCCATGTAGGTGACACAGGGCCCCTGTACAGGGGGAGCTGCAGGTCCCTCTTGGGCTGGCATGTGCTTTGAATGGCCTCAGGTGTGCCAGGCCCACACCTCCACAGGGCCACCTGACGGACTCCATGGCGACTGGCCTTCCTCAGAGAGGCTCTCAGAGTCGGGGGCACAGCGGGGGTGGAAGGCGGGGAGGGTGGGCGAGTCATCCCACACACACCTGGCCTTGTTCCCTGAGTCCATGAGGTCCTGAATGTCATTATAGGAGGTCACGGCCAGCTTGGAGAGGTCCTCCACGTACGGCCCCAGCAGCGGGTGCTCCCTCACACGCAGGTTGCCCTTGTTTTTGGGATTCAGGAGGTCGCGGACACGCTCACAGTAAATCTCCATGTAGCTGACCTGCAGGGCAAAGACATGCCATCAGGGACTCCCAAGGTGGGGTACAGGGGTTGCCATCAGAGACTCTCGGGGTAGGAAGTGTGGGTACTGCCCACTGGGTGGGGGTGTGCAAAGGACTCTGAGCCCCTGCATGAGGGTATGCGTTGGGGGTGTCAGCGCATCCCCCGGGCCCTGGCCACCCTGGGGCCACCTTAGCCACAGTACAGCCCAGGCTGTGCAGCTCTGGGGCAGAGTGGCTGCTGTTAATCGCCGGCTGAGCAGAGGACCGCCCCTTGCTCCTCTGGGTCCTGAGCACCCATGTCTGGCGTGGGGTGGGTATGGTGGCGTGATTGCCATGTGCATGAGTAAGTGGCAAGCTAAGGGCACAGACCAGAACAGAGACACACGTTACATCAGAAAAGCTTTGCCATCCATGCCTAGAACCCCCAGCCATCCCCTGAGGACTAGACGCCAGGTGGGGGTGCCCTACCTCCACAGAGTAGGACATGTTGTCATTGGTCGTGTCATTGATCCGGGAGAACAGGTCCTCGCAGAGCTGCAGGGACCCAAGATACATAGACGATGAGTACCTGTCCCCTGAAGTGCTGTGCGCTGTCCGCACCCAGGCTAGACGCTGCTCTCCTAGCCCCTCTCACACCCTCACAGTCCATCTTAAAGGCACTGAGAAGGCCTGCATCTAAGAAGCTGCTGTCTTCTGCTTCTCTCAGGGGATCCCCCCGATATCTGATCCTTTCCTAGGGACCATCCTTTCACACTGGCCTACGCCTCACACCGTCCTCGTTTGCATAGGGTAGGGGGTGTGCCATGCTGCAGACCACCCCATATTCTCCACTGCCCTGACCAGATCAGATCCAAGGACCCACCCGGGGTGGCAGGGAGGCTGGGTGGGGACCAGGGTCCCAGCAGTATCTGAGGGGCCCATGTGTCAGCCTTTCGTTAACCAAAGGCCACCCTTGTCCCGGGCATCTCTCCAGCCCTCGCAGCCCCCCACCAGCGGCTCTCCCAGCTGCCCCACACAGGCCCCCTGCCAGGACCCCACTCTCCTCCCAGTTTACCTCCTTCCTGGCTCCCTTCTCTCTGGGCTGCTCCCCTGGGGTGCCCCGCCCAGGTCTTTCTGCAGTCCTGCCTTCCCCCGCCCC